GATAGGATGGCCATACAAGCTTTCTCTGAGGCAGTGACATTTGACCTGAGACCTAAAAAAGCCAGCCATGTGAAGAAAATCTGGGAAAAGTGTGTTGTAGGCAGGAAGCACAGAAGACACCAAGGCCCTGAGCAGGAACAAGTCCAGTAAGAGTGAAGAGCAGAGAGAGGTGTGAAAGAGAGAGGCACAGCTAAGGTTTGAGAGCCCAGAGCCCGTGGTGAGGAAATGGACTTCATTCTCAGGGCTCAAGGTCACATTCCTAGTGAATGCTAGGGCTGGAATTCAAGCACCTCGTCAGCCTGTAAAACCTAATCTCTCACCTTTGTCCTAGGATGATACCCACCTCACAGACTCATCCAGGTCACTAGAGAAAACTTAGAACGTGCCTGGCGCAAGATAGACGTGCAACCGGTGTCCCCTTTCTCCTGGTTTTCCTATAAAGGTTTGATCCTGTCACACGCTCACTACTAATTGATCACTCTAAATTATTCTTCTTTATTCGTCCATAATGCTTTTTGCCTACTGGTTCACTTTAGTATAAATATGACCAAATGCATTTTCTATTGATTCAACTGATCAGTATATCTTTACTTGTATTTTTAGCCCTCTGGTGTCATCTTAGCCGTGGGTCCTTTGTCCTAGCCCCTGGCTTTACATGTTATTCCGAATTTGTATCTCGCCCACACCTTACCCTTGACCTCCAGGTTTGACTGTCAGCTGTCTACACCATGTCTCGGATGCCCAGGTTCCTCCTGGGCTCCTCCTCTTCAGTCCTCCTGTTTTCTAATCAGCCTGTGCCCAACCCCCACCCCACCATCAGCTCCACCAGCTCTGTAAATGCCACTGCAGTGTACCTTGTCCCTGAAGCTAGGTCCCTCCTACGTCTTCCCCGTGCCTCAGTGCCCCTAGCCAGCCTGTCCGCGGGCCCTGTTGGTTGGGCCCTGCAGGCAGGGCCCACGTCCCCTGCTCCTCTCCATCTGTTGCCACCTGTGCCAGCCAGTCTGCCTCTTTGCCCACCTGGCCGTCAGAGTCGCCTCCCGAATGGTCCCCTTCCGCTTTGCTCCCCTGCATCCACTTCCCCCACAGCATTTGGGAAAAAGGTTTATAAAGTATCAGATGGTCCTTCTGCCTAGAACCTCCCAGGGATTTCTTTTTCCATTTAGAATAAAACCCAAGCTCCTGACCATGATGCATAAGGCCCTACAGCTAATCTGGCCCCTGCCTTCCTCTCCAGCCTCATTCCACCACCACCACCACCACCTGTTGGCCATGTTCTAGTTAATAGTGGCTTCCTTTCTGCTCTTGAATAGACCAAGCACCTGCCTGACTCAGGACCTTGGACTTGCTATTTCCTTTCCTAGAATACACTTTCCTCGACTCTTCATTGCAGGGTTTTTCTCATTCTGCGTGTCTTCACTCTGCTGTCACCTCAAAGAGCTGAGCCCTGCCCTATTATTGAAGTCCGATGCCCTGATCCCACCTTTTGGTTACCATCTCTTGTATCATGTTTATTTCCCACAGAATACTATCACCGTGTTCATTTTGCTTGTTGTCTGACTCTACCACAGGATATAAATTCTATGACAATAGGGACCCTTTTTACCTTATTTGCTCCTATGTCCTCATTGCCTCATATGTAGCAGTTACTTTTTTTTTTTTAGGTAGGCTTCATGCCCAGCGTGCAGCCCAACACTGGGCTTGAACTCAGGACCCTGAGATCAAGACCTGAGCTGAGATCAAGAGTTGGACACTTAACCAGCTGAGCCGCTCAGGTGCCCCTGTAGTGGTTACTTTAAATAGTTGGATTTTGTGGCTCAGCTGAACATGGAGGAGGTGCGTGGAAGAGGTGCCCCCAGAATATCGGGAGTGGGTGTGAGGTGGCCGTTGACCCTGAATAAATGAATGAAGGAGAGAGTAAGCAAATAGTCTTAAGTATAGCTCAAATAAATAGCAAAGTGTTGGATTTCTTAAATCTCTTCTGAGACTCACTTAAAATTATTTTTAATTGTGGCAAAATATGCATAAAATTTCACATCTTGACTTTTTTTAATGTTTTTTGTTTTTTTTTTTAATTTCTATTTTTGAGAGAGAGAGACAGAGTGCAAGCAAGGGAGGGGCAGAGAGAGAGGGAGACAGGATCCGAAGCAGACTCTAGGCTCTGAGCTGTCAGCACAGAGCCTGATGCGGGGCTCTAACCCATGAACCCTGAGATCATGACCTGAGCCAAAGTCAGACACTCAACCAACTGAGCCCCACAGGTGCCCCGATGTCTTAACTGTTTCTAAGTGTATCGTACGGTAGTGTTAAATATACCACATTATTGATTCTTTTCATCTTGCAACAGTGAAACTCTGTACCATTAAACAACAAAAAACTCCCTCTTCCCTCTCCCGGCCCCTGACAGCCACCATTCTACTTTCTGTCTCTCTGAATTTGACTGCTCTCAGTACTTAATATAGATGGGATCATATGGTAGTGTTCATCCTTTTATTCCTGGCTTATTTCACTGAACATGACGTCCTCCAGGTTCATCCATGTTGTGACGTGTGCCAGCATTTCCTTCCTTTGTAAGACTCAATAATCCTCCACTGTGTGAATGTACCACATTTTGTTTAGCCTTTCATCTGTCAACGGACACTTGGGTGGTTTCTGCCTTTGGCTGCTGTGAAAAATGCTGCTATGAACACAGGTGCACAAATGTCTGTTTGAGCCTCTACTTTGAGTTGTAATCTCTACACTCAATGTGGGGCTCAAACTTACAACCCCAGGATCAAGAATCACATGCTCCAGGGGCACCTGGGTGGTGTTTGACTTGGGCTCAGGTCGTGATCTCATGGTTCGTGAATTGGAGGCCCATTTAGGGTCCTTTGTCCCCCTCTCTCTCTGCCCCTCCCCCACTCATTCTCTCTTTCAAAAATAAATTAAAACGGGGGCGCCTGGGTGGCTCAGTCGGTTGAGTGTCCGACTTCGGCTCAGCTCATGATCTTGTGGTCCATGAGTTTGAACCCCTCATCGGGCTCTGTGCTGACAGGTCAGAGCCTGGAGCCTG